TCACATGGTGTGATTTCTCAGGGGGACACCTTGGCTTGGGCCTGCCAGGTATCCCTTACCCCGCCTCCACCACATTATATTTCATAATAGTCTTTTCCCGGCAATGGACACCCTAAGACATTCAGTGATGAGGAGTCACTGCTAATGTGTTCAGAGATTCTTTGGGGGCTTAATGACAATGTTCTGGACTTGGACAGTGGTGACAGTTGCTCAGTGCTGAATATACTAAAACCAACAGAACAGGGCTGAAGAGATGTCTCAGTGGTTAAGAACTCTAGATGTTCTTTTACAGGACTCTGGTTCTATTCCCAGCACCCACATGACAGCTTGCAATTGCCTGTAACTCTAGTTCCAGGGAATCTGGTGTCTTTTTTTCTGGATTCTGCAGGCAGCGCATGCACATGCTGTACTTGCTGACTAGCCACCTATACACATAAAATAAATACTTTTTTAGAAAGAAAGAAGGAAAGAAGGGAAGAAAGAAAGGAAGAAAGAAAGAAAGAAAGAAAGAAAGAAAGAAAGAAAGAAAGAAAGCAGTCAGGCAGTGGTGGCGCATGCCTTTAATCCCAGCACTTGGGAGGCAGAAACAGGTGGATTTCTGAGTTCGAGGTGAGCCTGGTCTACAGAGTGAATTCCAGGACAGCCAGGGCTATACAGAGAAACCCTGTCTTGAAACTATCCCTCCCCCCCCCAAAAAAAAGAAAGCAAAACTGACAGAAAATCCATTGTATTAGGGTGAACTTTCCACAAACCAAGGCTCTTTATGTCTTTAACTTGCCTTAGAAATAGGTGTAGACAGACACGCAGTCTCAAGGTGGGCATGAACAGAGGAATCTGCTTGGCCCATTGAATTGTCAAGGATACACTTTTGGGGTGTTCAACCCCAAGAACTGTATCCTCAGGAACTCTGTAAGGAGGGATAGCCCACATGGCCACAGAAACATCACCTATGTCTGTTTGTCTTTCTTTCTTTCTTTCTTTCTTTCTTTCTTTCTTTCTTTCTTTCTTTCTT